GTGGCCATTTTGAAACCGCCAATCAGCTGTGCGAAAATCTTCGTTTTGCGATAATCAGTTAGCAAAGCAGGTACCGATCATCGCAAAGCGAAAAAAACCCATAGGAAACATCGTTTTGCGATCGCTTTTGTGAGCGTAATAACTTCTTTGTTATGCAATTTCTTCGTTAAACGAAGCGCTCGTCTTGCAAGGCACCACTGTACTAATTCCCAAAGTACAGTTTAAAAAGATCCACTTTAGGGTTAATTTGTCTATGTTCCAGCAAGGCATGAAAAAATCAAAAATAAATAAAAAACAGGTTTCCAAGCTTTAAACAGCAGTAGAGTGCTCAAGGTCACTGCCAAAAGACTTCAAGTAGTCAAAACATGACATAACTCCAGACTTAACCAGTAATAAATTACAAGAAAATTTCTTAAGCTTTATAACGCCAAATTATAATATTCTTAAAGTACATTTTAAATATATTTAAATTAGTAGTTAATGTTCCATTAATCTTTAAATTATTTTCTTTGCATCAACTATCCCTCTCTCCAGATTTTCTGCCGCTCTATGATTGATGAGATTGATAGGAGATTCTTTTGTCTGTATATAAGAATTGTCTTCTCCAAGGGTAATCATAAGCAATTAATTGTAAAAATATATCTCACCCAATAATACCACTGATGTTGAATAGCTGATTGTTACCTCTCTTATCACCGGCTGCCGACGACTTGCAAGCAAGCTTCCTAGCTGCTTGTTTCTGCCCGTTGGCTGATTAGGGAGTTTCCTGGATCAAATGGGGATGACCGCCATCCCCCCCCGTGATCAACAGGCTTCCCCCCCAGTTCTCCACCTCTCCGGGGTGGTTTCGACACCCTGGGGTGTCCCAAACAGGTCAGAATTCAGCCCAGGGGACATCAAGCCAGTCTCCGAACCCCTAATTTTTAAATATGCTATAAAACTGCAGAAGCCTCTGGGCTGCAAGGTTAAAAGACCAGTCATCATAAGATCAAATACATGCAATGGAGGGAGCTCCCGTCGCTCATCCCAGCTCCTGCCAAAATCACATTGATACAGCACCTGTCCTATCCTGAAGGGGGCTCAGTTAACTATGCCATTCTCAGGAGCTATGTACCATCTGCTATACATCATTCAACAAGGCAGTTAGCATGGTCTGTCATTGTGGAGTGAGAGCAGAACTGGCAAAATGTGACATTAAATCTGCATTTAGGATTTTGCCACTCAATCCATGGGATTTTGACTTGTTGAGATTTTTATATAAATCTTTGAGATACGGTTTACTCCTGCCTTATAAACTGTTCCACAACCTGTCTCAATAGCTGAGTGAATGAGTTGGAAGTTAGATTCCCCACTGTGTCCTCCCAGAAAAAAAGTTACCCTGTGTAATTCACCCTGTGTAATTTTGGGCAAGCTACACAGTTCTAATGCACCCCCACTTCTGAGTAATCTTTATCTAGAAAACTCTGGAATGGGTTGGCATAAGTCAGAATTGACTTGACAGTAAATTGTTAACAGTTGTTGTTGAAAACACTAGGCACAGTCAAAATTATAAAAACATTGACTGGCATTATATAACAGATACAAGTCTTAACCAAACACCTAAGTATGTCAAATATTGGTACAGTGTGTATCCTGTTCCTAATACTGCCATTTTCTGTAGCTCTGATGGTGTCATTTCAGAAATATACAACTTTTCACTGTGTGAAATTTCTTGATATTGTTCCCATGCGGACCACTGAAGTGTGTTCCATCCACGTGAAATAATTTAATCCCAATTCTTTGGCTTCAACTCTGGCATCCATGGAATTGCAATGTCAATGATGTGTTATGTTCAACATGTCTATCAATTTGGATCCAGAAATCCCTTGACGTCATTATTTCTGACACCTTCTCTAACTGATGTTCTCATGGGTTTTTGATGGCTGGCAAGTTACACTTTTTGCATAATGACCAGTGTGCTTATGTTGCCACTCTATCATGTCTAATTTTGTAATCTGTTTGTGCAAAGACATTCAGAGATGAGGTGTGACAGATTCATATTTCTTCTTGTCAGAATCAACATTTGCTGTTACCCCTAATTCCTTGAATCTTAGTTTTCATCACTTGCTTGTTCTGGTGCAGCAAAAATCAAGCCTTCAATTTCTTTTTTAATGGTACCCAATTTTAGCCATGCGCATATCAAATTATTGTCAGGCCTTCCATCAATATTTCTCAGATTTTGTCCATGTCATGGCTTATTTTTCCAACTGTTTATTTTATTTTCAAATTGTTGTTTCTTATATCACGATATAAGAATCTGTTCTTTTCAAAATATTCTCCATTTTCACCACCTTCATTTGTATATCGTCACTAAATATTCACACCATATTTAGCAGTGATTCTATCCAAGCAGAACATTTTGCATATAGTTTTAGGTCATTCATCTATAACAGATTATTGACTTTTCCTACTTGTTCTGAAATATGACAACCCAATCCAGTTTTATTTGAAATTACTGACATGGAGATTAGTGAGATATTAAACAGCAGTGGTGACAAAGAATCCTTTTAAAATATTCCTCTTTTGATGCTAACTTCCCCAATTTCTTCACCATATGCCATTAAGACAGTTTTCCATTTTTCCATGTTTTTCTTGAGGAACTTCCAAATGTTTTTACTAATCCCAAAAAGTTTAGGCCGATGTTAATCCAGCTGAGTGGCAATCAAACACATTTTTATAGTCTCTCCAGGCCATTTTAAGATTTGTTTTGGGTCTCTTTGCATTCTTTAGTATTGTTTTATCAATTATGAACTGATTTTTCATGCCTTTTGACTTTTTCAAGTTCCCTTTCTGCATAATTTGGTACAGGGAGTTTTTAATTAAACAATTATATATTGATCTTGGAAGTAATCCTGTGAAGAATTTTAACATTGTTGAAAGGCTTGTAACTGGTCAATAATTACTGGGTTCATATCAAAAATATGCAGCCGGTTGTAGAATTTTGAAGTAAGTGATTAAATTGCACTGCTATAAGTTGATGGACACTTGTTAAATCCTTTAATCAAAATCCGTGCAGCTCATCTGGGCCAAGTCAAAAATATATGCAGCTCATCTGGACCAGGTTGAACTCCACATAATATCATCATCATCATCATCATCATCATCATCATCATCATCATCATCATCATCATCATCATCATCATCATCATCATCTGCTCCAAACTGTGCCTTATATTAATGCACTTTAATCCCTTCTATTTATATATATACTGCTTTGTGAGAGCTACAGTCTAAAAGACAAACTAAGCTAAGCAAAGAAACATTCATGCCATTAATTGCACATTTTTATGCTGTGTGTCCATGTGTGGACAAGCAGACACAAACAGAGAGGAAATGTTTCTGGTCTCACAGTAAAATTGTAGCATATGTGCATGTTTTGCTCTTGTATTACATCTTACCTGATACTAGCAGACTTTGCCTTAAGGTCATTCCAGCGTTGGTTCATATCATCAATGCGGTGCTGTAGCAGTGCAGCCTCCTCAGAGTTTCCCAAGGCTTTTACCATTTTTTGCCTGTTTCCATCAATGCTCTTGAAAATGTCATTGTGGGCATCTATTTCAGCCTGGATGTCCTAGGAAAGCAAAAGCAAAAAGTTCACCAGAGTTACGCTTGTACTCAGAACAAAAAATGTTAATTATGAAGGCTAAAAATGTAACAAATGTTGCCTAACAATATATGCCTTGGAAAACCTGAAAGGTATAAGAAACATTTTACACTGGACACAAACTATTGAGATGACTTGTCCTAAGGCCTTCTTTCAAATTATCAATAAAATGCATGATCACATCACTTCGTCATTTACAACAATGAATATTAAATCACAGTTTAAAATAAATCACTTGTTTCATGCTAATACAAGCTGTTACGACAAGTCCAGATGGAAGCAACTTCCAGTACAGCACAGGCTACTTCTAAAATCACAGCAAGAATCCTAAGGAAAGAATAACTGAGATTTTACAAATAAAAATTCCATTAATATTCAGCGAAAGTAGTAGATCTTCTGTTGCAATTAGCTGGAAGGAAAATGCACACATTGGAACATTCTGAACATTTACACTAATCATCTGGGAAGTGCTTAAAATGCACAACCAATATCCAAAATTAAAGACAAGTAGCCATCTTTAGGTATAAAAGACCAAGACATCTGAAGAGCCCTAATCAGTTGTACTAAGCTCCTTTCCGAATCTACAGAATAGTATCTTTCTATCTATCTACAAAATGCTTTAGTTTTAATAATTCAGTGAAACTCTTGTAAGCTCATCTATGTGAAACTCTAGATAATCTATACCAGGACAAATCTTTTAACTAATGTGGAATACTTTTTAATGATGAATTGATAATATTTGGGCTGAGATTATTTAAAGCAATTTTAACTCAACTGTATTTTAATATTAGAACTCCTTACTGTCATATAACTTACATTGTATGCCACTCAGGTCTTAGCTTTAGGAGACACCAAAGTCTAAATCAGACTACTCAAAAATGTTTTGTAGCTTTAAAAGACAGTGAGAATTCTGTTTCATTGTTATCTGACATCATCCTCTAGAGCAGGGGTCTCAAACATGCGGCCCGGGGGCCATTTGTGGCCCGCCGGACCATAGTTTTGGCCCCCGCCTTGCCTCCCCCCTGAAGCACCCTCGCGTACTCTGCTGTCAAGAGTCAAAAAAAGCTTCCCCTCACTCACCAGCTCTCTCCCAAGACAGCACCTCTTGCACCCTCCATCCAGAACTGCAGACTGCCAGCCAGCCCGCCTGTCTGCCGGCTAGCAGGCTGCATTTCCGGATGGAGGGTGCAAGAGGCGCTGTCTTGGGGGAGAGCCAGTGAGCAAGGTGCGCTGCCGGCCCTTTTCCCCCAAGCGCCCAAGCCGCCGCTGAGTGATGCCTGAGAGTGCCGCCAAGCCGCCAACAGCAGCTGCTACCGCCTCCACCTCTTCCAGGGAAGTGGCTCTCTGGCTCTCTTACTCTCTCGGCACCCCCAGCACCAGCCTGGCCAGCATCCGCCTCACCACCCGATGGTGCTTCCTCCTCCTCATCCTGCTTTAGCCACCTTGGCTCTGGAGGCTGCCTGGGCTCGCCTCGCAAAGTTTGCTCCCCTGTTGTGGTGGGACTAGCTGCTGCTGCTGAGTGTGCCTTTTTTTTGAGGGGGACCCTAAGAGGAGGGTTTCCGGACCACCGTGTGGGGGGGTGTATGTTCACACGCACACATGCACCTGTGGGGCGCCCCACCCCATTCTGTTTCTCCTTTGGCAAGGCAATTCTGTGAGGGTTTTGTTTTTAAAAAATTTTATGTCGTGCCCTCCTCCACTAGGCAGTCACCAGTGCTCTCTCCCTTTTCCGCTTCTTCGTCCTGCTGGTGGTGGTGGTAGTGAAGAAGGAGCCAGAGGGGGTCGTGGCCGGCAACGAGGGCTCACACACCCCTCCTCCTCCTCCTTGGAGCCCCAGCTGGGCTAAGGAAACTCCCGTGCAGCTTCCTCAGGCTCTTGCTCCGCTTGGAGGAAAATCTGATGCGGCCCAGCCTCACCCACACTCTGCCCTCAGGTAAACTGAGTTTGAGACCCCTGCTCTAGAGAAAAGAATTATGCTTGAGGATACAAATATTTTAGAAATTGGCCCATGCAATCAAGAAATAAAAAGCTTTACTTTTTCAAATGTAAAAGAAACAGCACTGTATGATGAACAGCACAATTACCAGGGATGTTGTTGAACATATGGGCAGGAATATTTAAAAGGAGAACTAAAAGTTTAGGGAGACTCTTGTTTTGCAAGAGGCTCCAGATTCCTTTCCCCCTCCTGCTCAAGCTGTATAACTGATACAGAATTCCAACAGGTAGAACACAAATCACAGATCATCAGCTTTATTTCAAAGCCACAGCACTAGAATTAAGTGTTAATTCCAAATTGGTGGATAGGTTTCAGAGAATAAATATAAATATTTTTCTAGATTTATTCAGGCCAAAATTAGGCATGACACATGAATATGGAAGAAGTAGTACTTGAAAATGACAACATAGACCCTGGTTTCCCTTTATGTGACTACCATTTCTCTTTATGTGACTATGTGCCACCTACACGGTGCTTGGAACACTTTCCCAGACGCAGCTAGCCCTAGCTCACATCTTTTCTCAGATTAGAGCTACCCTGTTTCCCTGAAAATAAGACCTAACCTGAAAATAAGCCCTAGTATGATTTTTCAGGATGCTCGTAATATAAGCCCTACTCCCAAAATAAGCCCCAGTTAAGTGAAACCCCGTCTTCCATCATTGTGCAGCAACCAGAAGATGACATGTGTCTGAATAAATGTAGATTGTTGTACATAAAAAAAATCCCCTGAAAATAGGCCCTCATGCATTTTTGGAGCAAAAATTAATATAAGACCCTGCCTTATTTTTGGTGAAACACGGTAGAAGAAAACTGGAGAGCACAAAAAGGTAAAGCAGTGTGTGCTCTAGGTTTTTATGCTTTTCATTATAGGCATATATTCGCAGTCATATCTATATGTGATCAGGGTTGAAATATGGATGGATGGTCCAAGTTTGGCCATCGGATGTAAGATCCACTGATTTCAATGATTTCCACTGGCTTCTACATTCTTGATGAAGTGCAATACCTAGAATTTGATTTTTAGGAAATATATTCAATTTTCTTTTAATATTTTGGTGTGGTTTTTTTCATCCACTAACTTTCTTATTTGAAACATATTGTGATCCTGTTTTATTGGCAAAGAAACATTCATCTCAAGAACTTCAATTTGAAACTAATTTTTGCCTTTGTTCTACTGGCATGCTCACTTTAGAAAACAAGACTTCCAGCAACTTCTTGATTTTCATCATAATTAAATTCAGTTTCTTTGGTACATATTTCCTTTTCAGTCTCATTCATCTCATTTTTAATCCCCTGCAAAATCTGAGACTGATCTTCAGAAATGCCCAAATCAAGTCTAATTTACTCAAGCCTCAATAATATAAATGCAGCTGACAGAAAAGCAGAAAATCAGATCTTTGAATTTTAACCTTTCAAAAAAGAGGATGTTTTTGTTGTTCTTCTAAATCTTTCCTTTTTTTCTGCTTTCCAGAATCTGTAAAACGGAAAGTTTACAGAACTATGGTGTATAATTATTTTTTGGCTTTGCTGGCTAATTGTTTACGATGACTTAGAGATCTGATGCAATCTATACATGTATAAACAGATTCTATATGATCTGTTTATATATGTTACACTGCAACTATCACTATAGTTGCATCTAACAGCAGAATTCAAAGAGAGGAAAACAGCCAATTCTTTATACCTTCTCTACAGAAAAGGTTTCATGCTTCTATGGAACCATAATTTAGAAACAAATTACCTCATTTTTCACTCCACAGGAGTTCCAAAAATAAAATAAAAATCACAGAACACTACTGAAAAATATAAAATACATTTATCCAGACAACCAGTTCATTTATAAAGCATGAATAACTTGCATTTGCAATGGTAGCAGAAAACTTTTGTTATATGTAGCATGGAACACATAGATCCAGATGACACAAAGAAGCTCCAGAGCAATGTAGCTGGAACTCTGTACAAAAAAAACTATGTGGGGGGGAGGGATGTAAAAAGTCAGAGAACCATGATTGTAGGTGGGTAATCTCTCTTTCTTCTTCATGGTCTCTCTATTTGGGGAGGAGGGATGTAAAAAGTCAGAGAGCCATGATTGTAGGTAGGTAATCTCTCTTTCTTTTTCATGGTCTTTGTGAATGCACATGGATAGGTGACTAGCAAGCTCACTAACCCGCAGGAGGGCCGTCACAGTAAAACTGAAGTAAGCACAGCCCTTCCAAAACTTGCTTCCTTTTTGGCTCTGCCATCCAGCCTGTAATGTGTCACAAAGGTCGACAGTGTATACCAGGTAGCTGATCAACAAATGTCAAAAAACTTCAATGCCACGAAGTTAGGCAGTAGAGGTAGCCACAGCTCTGGTGTTTTTAAGAGCCAGCTTAAGACCTGGCTCTTTAGGCAGGCCTTCCCTCCTGTCAATACTTGATTTTTACTTTTCTATTTTAATTTTCGTCTATACTTTTTTCCATCTTGAATGGTACTAATACAGTATTACTGATTTAAATTGTTGTTTTTAATTGTTTTATGATATTCCTATTGTAAGCGGCCTAGAGTAGATGTGGTCTAAATGGGCGGGATATAAATCTAATAAATAAAATAAAATAAATAAAACCTCCCCAATTAGGGTTTTGGTTAAGGTGAAATGGGGTTTATTATTAAAGCACCATATCAAGAGCATGATAGTTAAAAGCGCATAGGAGGGCCAAAAGTCTGTTTAGAACACTCCAGTCTTTGACAGACTTCCAGTGACCAATAAATAGAGAGAGAAGCTCTTCTTCTCTCGGGACAAGAATTTCATGATTGGGTACTGCTGTAAAAGAAGGTCTTTTCAAAGATCCAAGTTAACTTCCTTCATCTTCATTATGTTGGGACTCCTATAATATTACTTATTTTGATGATATAACCAGACAAAATGAAATGACCCTTTAGATATTTTGGACTCTGATTATTTATTCTTTCACCAAGTCCAGTAGCACTT